CATTTTATTGAAAGCCTTTTTCATTTCTGTTAGATTAATGGTGTATTTTTCCTCCGGACACACGCACAGCTTAAACGTGTGTGATTTTATCATGTAAATTTGGATATTTTCGGCGATGCATATATTATAAACTCATTACATCAGAATTCCATTTTAAATATTAATGTTGGAGTTAATATACCGCCTACATGTTCTAGTGTTGAATAACGATGTTATTTTACAGCAATGATGTACCCGGAGTTCCAGTACAGGCCGCCGCCTCCAAGCTACCAGGCATCCATGCAGGAATACAGGTTGCGGTTGCTGCTCCTGGACCGACACCACGCCCACAATGCCTCGCCGCAAGCACCCTCACCCCCGCCCACCTACCGGTCTGGGACCCATAATTTTAGAGGGTGAGTTATTTTAAAGTGTGGTTTTGTAGACCGTGCATTAAGGCTCGTTGTAATCACGAAGATTTATTTGTGTTAAAAAAAAAATGGTATATTGGGGCTATCTACCTAGTTTTTTCATCGTTATACAATTTACGAATGTTATCTGAATGTTTCTTGAATGTTATTTTAGTGTTCAGGCAAAACTAGATATTCAATTTGAGAATTATTTAAAATTTATTCTCGTTTATAACTGGTTTATATTCATAAATAGTATACTACGATTTCATAATTGATTTTTAGGATTTGTTAACAAAAAACTTTCCCATTACAGATTAGGTGTGAATACATTAGGACGGGAGAGTAACTACAGTCATCCTCCAAGTTACCGGTCCCGCGAGGGTTCCATTTCCCACAATCCTGATACGGTTCCTTCAACTCACCCTGGGGGCAACGTCGCCCCTGCCCACTCCAGAGATCCTTCGTGTCTGTCGTTTCTCTCGCACGATTCCATATACTCCACCGGCGCACCGCCCTCACAGGACGGCTCCCTACGAGCCGGGCAGATAGTGGACAGAGACAAAGTAGCAGTGGTGGAGGACTCCGTGCTGCCGCCAGCCAAGAAGGACAGCAGGAGAGATGACAACACCGTTACCATTGTACAGACCACAGACTCTTCACAAGTAATTGGTTCCGATGCTGTAGTTGTGACAGTGTCAGGTTCAAATGCAAACTATGTGACAGCGCCATCACAACACCAAACCACCGATGCTGAAATATCCGTCCTGGCCCACCTTTGACCTAGTTCACTTTCTGACGAAGTGAAGCTGTGAAAATACAAGGTTTTCTCTGACCTTCAATGCTTATGAAAAGTATGCTTAAATTAGGCCGTTTGGTATTGCTACCTTTATTATATGATCTTCAGTGATGTGTTGTTCATGTAACTGAAACCAAAACTTCATAAACTGCACACTGTTTCTTTTGTCAGCTACTGGTGATATTGTGTATAGCATTCTGTTCATTTAAACCCAATATAGTGAGAACATTATGAAACGGAATGCGAGCTGATGTAACTTTGGCTTATGGCCAAGATGAATTTATCATGGAAATGAATATAAATTAGTCAACTATATTGTTATCATACCAGTTTTTGAAATCAAGAATGAGTGCTGTTGCCATAGTCAGAGAGGTTGTTGAAATATATTGTGTACATATTAATTTTTGTAGCCTTTACATTTATTTGCACAAGACCAGCCAACCTCATGTGTACTTGAGTTGACTTGAGTGCTTTATTTTAGTCATGTCTAACTTATCCGACATATTTAAAATGCATGTATGAGATGTAAATAATTACTATTGGCATTTATATATACATATATCACATAAATACTTTATAATCAATGATTGTAAAAGTGACCAAAAAATAGTCAGTTTAGATTAGGTTATATTGCCAGTGTTCTTCCTGTGGTGTAGTGGTGTCTTGTGAGATCCAGATAAACAGGAATGTTGCTACTAGTTCATGAAAGTTTCCTCGATAGTATTATAGATCTATTTCTTATACGTAGATATTGAAATTGTAAATGTTTAGTGTCCTTGGCATCATTCCTGGTCCACTGGGCCTCACTGTTCACTGCTATGATGCTCGCGTGTCTTGTAAGGTGCTGTAGCAGAATTATCTATCCACAGTGTCTGTGAAAACAAGATTTAATTTTGGCATATTTTTTCTGAAATGTAAAAGTCACATGGCAGTATTTTTCCTTTTTGGGATTTACTAAAGAACCTAAGCTTTGGTTATGAAATGAAGATGTAGCGTGGAACAAGATTGATTACTTTTTCATAACGAGACTTAAGGTTCAGCAGCCCCAGTTTTAGAAATGTACCAGTCGAAATGGGTAGCATCCAAGTTTAGTCAGTTGGTATTATTTTTTGAAATGAAACTGCAGAACTTTGTTTATAAAATATATAATTATATATATGAAAGGTTCTTCCTTCCCTGAGATTGCCATGTTCCTTATGTCAAACCAATCCTTAAACCAGAGAGATTATCATATTGCCCTTTAAAACTGTCCTAATGAACCCCTTCCTATTGCTTAAAAACTGAAATGTATTTTTCCCCTGTTGCATATGATATAATATTTCTGGGCATAATGTAATAAAAAAGGTCCTGTATATATTTTGTATAACTAAATAAAACCACCTTTACATTCATATTTTTATTTTCATTTCATGCTGTCCTGCAATCTTGAAGCAGTAAGTGTCAAGTTAAAAGACAACTTCAGTCATAAGCTGAACAATATTATGTTTCACACAGGAAACAGTCAATAAATGGTGAGGTGAGAAATCATTAATACACTGGAAATGTACAGAAATGCACTAGACAAATTTTAACACTGGAAGAGAGAGATTGTTACATGATTCTACATTTTAAAGTTTCGACTTTTTGATTTTGTAACATGAATAAATTTAGTTATATTCAGAAGCTAACTGCAAGTGTAAATTTTAAACTTATCCCTCTTTACATTTGGGAGACTAGCTTCAGTACCAACGAAACTTGCAGAATTGGCTAGTAACATTGCACTGGATTTGCCACTGATTCATAGAGATTGGAGTTGAAGTAAAACAATGTACCTGCACTGAAGACAATAGCATAAGGAGTCTTTCTTTCACAACGAGCATTTAATTAGCATGGCTGTACATTCTAAGTTGACAAGGAGGCTACAACTGTAGCCATTAGGAACACTACAAATGCACACACCTTGACTGAACGAACTAACATCATCTATGCCTTAAGACAATGAGTAGCTGAATCAGAATACTTCACCCACAGAATGAGTTTAACGTAGCTATGTTACATTGACATTTGGACAAAAGGTTAAAAATGTAAAAACAAAACAGATTTGAAAATGGAGAAAAAGCAAAGTTTTACCTTAAAATAATGGTAAAGAATAGTATTTTTTTCCCTATCAGATCATAATATCATATAAATGATATGATGGTCAATTAAAAATCAGTAACAATGTTAATTTTGAAAGAAAATGAGTGAAGATGCACAATCCAGTCAGTGTCTTTAGGGAAGACTAACAAGCCACAGGACATCATTGTTTTAATGACTCAAATTTGGATTTATCTTACGAGGGTATATGAATGATTAATCTAATATGTAAATAAAAAAGATCTCTGTTCTAGATGAAATGAAAATGATATGCTTTAAATTACAAGATGTTCACACTTCATTTGGATTTCTCTACTAATATATAGAAAAATCAAAATATGGTGACATATTCATGACAAAAATTATTACAAGAGTTGACTACAAATATATGTACAAATAAACTGTTGTGCCCTTTGAAATATTTACAACAAAATCACAAAAGCAGTATACAAAATAATATGAACCTGGAGAATGTAATTCTTATAACACATACCTGATCAACCTAACAGATTACAAACTGTTGAGATCAGCTGATGTCAAATGTATTTACTAACTACAGTCAGAACCACCTGTACTGAAGTCACTACAGCAAGTCATGCACCATGTACGTATTGCAATTTGAACACCAGAACTTCTTGGATGAGAAGTTATAATGAAGTTCAGGTAGGCTATTCCTCCACTTACTATACAGAGGACATCAGCCACAAAGACTCTGTACACTTTGAAGTTTAGGAGAATACACAATAAGGAATATATAGACCTTATTTACTTATTGGATGACTGACTTTCACAAGTAACTGGATGCTGTATTTATGATACACAGATTAACAGACATATATGAGAAGCAATCTCCTATTATCTTCTTTTTTTTTTTCCTCTGTTTTCTTCCAGCCTTTTAAATCCAGGAGTCCATATCTCACTTCACTGGTGAACTAAACACATCCATATTCATACCACACCGAGTTATCCACAATATCCTTGGACTGTTTCAGCGGTGTATCGTCAGAAGGAGGTGGACGTGGTGGTGGCTTGGGGGGCTTAAGGTCTGGGATCTCAGGGGGAGTTGAGTGACTAGAGCTTAGGGAGTCCTGCTGGACTATGCTGGACCCACGACGGGATCTTGGGGGAACCTGTGGCGCACTGCAGAGGGAACTAGCATTAGCCTAAAGTGAGCAGTAGGGATTTAAATAAGCAGATCATGAATCAAATAATAAAGTTGATTACTAATCATGAAATAAGCAGAATTACTAGATTACTAAGAATACCTCATGTGTGAAATAGTGAATGATACTTCTAAAACTTCCAACCATGCATGGCTCTGAAATAATTAGGGAAAAGTGGCAACTAGCCCTATCATGGCAGTCTTCCTTATATACCTGGAGGAATGATCGGCGCGGGGTGGTAAACGGGGAGTGGTAGGGAGTTCGTCGTCTACTGCCCGTTCTCTCCGAACACCAGTCTTGGGCGTTGATGATCTTGGCACTCCCCCGGGGGTTGGGGTCCTTGGGGTGGATGGGGGTAGACTGCTGTGTACATTGCTGTAACTCCTAAATAATTTATCACATTTGCACATTAGTTATGATGTAAAATTAAATAAATATTTTGCAAAATCTGATGATATTCAAATCCCGACAGATAGTATTGCAAACAAAGAAGAGAAAAGAAACACCTCCACCATACTCTCAAGTAAAGGTATGTTTCATACCTGTTCATCACCTGTTGGCTCATTGAAGAAGATGCATTGCTCCTTAGTGAAGCTCTGCCTCGATTCTGGAAATGAGGATCTCACTCTTAGTTTTTTATTTTATTTTTTTATTTTTTTTTTTTATTTATTTATTTATTTTTTGATTGTATTGTTTTATATTATCTGAAAATTTCTAAATCTTGTCTGTACGTGAAATGTTCAGCCTTCTAATTGTTTTTCATATAAATGGACATAATTTCTGTTGTGCACTCAAGAATTTGTTGACTGTGATATAATGTATATCTAAACATTCATGAAAATATTTAGAGCAGCCAGACTTTGGAAGAGACTCATACCTGGTTGTTCTGAAGCGGTTCAGGTCCTACATCGCGGGTGGGTATGGAGTCTGAATCCTCAGTGAGATATACAGGACGTCTGGACCCTGCTCGGCTCAGTTCTGCAGTCCCGCTTCCAGCTGTAACAGTGGACAGCGAGTCTTCCTGGTGACTGTCACTGGCATCACCTGACTGCAAACTTCCCACATCCTCTGATGACACTGAGCCTCTGTGAAATTATATGAATATATTAGTTGCTTTCAACAAAGTTCAGCATAATAAAGAAAAAGAAGAAAAAAAAAAAAAAAAAAAATTATCCAGTGTCCCTATTTCTGCTGCTGGTATAATGTTACTTTACAAAACAGTCATCTCTCTTGGTGTTACCTTTTATTACTACAAAATGGAATTCTCTGGGTTATCTTCCCTTAAAGTGCAAATTCAAAATCACATAAATCACAACTGAAACTGCTAAACTCTAGCATCAAATAAAAAAATATTTAAGTACCTGAGAATCTGTGAGGCAAAGACATCATTCAGAGGGCGTTGGCGTGAGAAGATGACCCCAGAGATGAAGAGTCGGGACTTTCTCCTCCTTCGTCACGTCCTCTGGATCTTGAGCGTCCACTCTGGAGATAGTAGCATGAAATATTGTTAGATGAATAAGAAGAAACTTTTGATTCATAAATTAAACATACAAGGAGAAACTCATCATAATTTGATAACTAAAAAACATGCAATATCCTAAGAGTGTAAATATACATTCAATTATTTCATAACTTACCCTAGGGAACTTTGTTGATCAGCTCAGTTCCAGCTTTCCTTACTCGTCGCACAAGATTGGAGCCAAAGCCTTTCCTAGAGAATTACAGAAATAAAAACTTTAGCATCAAATCAGTCTACATAAACACAGTGCCAAGCATTGTTTACTTATATTTCTCAACTTTCTGAGTAAAATTTGCAAAAACAGTGAAATATCTTTTATTCTTTTAACATCTCACATTTTGTTACTTTCCAGTCTAAAATTATTGCAAACAACTGCTTCACTTTATTACTACAAAATGGAATTCTCTGGGTTATCTTCCCTTAAAGTGCAAATTCAAAATCACATAAATCACAACTGAAACTGCTAAACTCTAGCATCAAATAAAAAAATATTTAAGTACCTGAGAATCTGTGAGGCAAAGACATCATTCAGAGGCGGTAAACTCTTCCTGTAATGATTGGGAGTCTGTCCATTCCTTCCCATTCTCTGCTCTGCTACTTCACTGTCATGGGGGGGAGACGGTGGGAGGTTTGGGGAGGAGCGCCGCGTTTCAGAGCCAGAGTCCATAGAATCGTTGGCGTGCGAAGATGACCCCAGAGATGAAGAGTCGGGACTTTCTCCTCCTTCGTCACGTCCTCTGGATCTTGAGCGTCCACTCTGGAGATAGTAGCATGAAATATTGTTAGATGAATAAGAAGAAACTTTTGATTCATAAATTAAACATACAAGGAGAAACTCATCATAATTTGATAACTAAAAAACATGCAATATCCTAAGAGTGTAAATATACATTCAATTATTTCATAACTTACCCTAGGGAACTTTGTTGATCAGCTCAGTTCCAGCTTTCCTTACTCGTCGCACAAGATTGGAGCCAAAGCCTTTCCTAGAGAATTACAGAAATAAAAACTTTAGCATCAAATCAGTCTACATAAACACAGTGCCAAGCATTGTTTACTTATATTTCTCAACTTTCTGAGTAAAATTTGCAAAAACAGTGAAATATCTTTTATTCTTTTAACATCTCACATTTTGTTACTTTCCAGTCTAAAATTATTGCAAACAACTGCTTCCTCTTGCCACAAACTGATAAAAATGAATTAAAAAATCCTTTATAAGATGCAATGAATCTGGTTATACAAGCCCTCTTTGTAAATATCTTCTCTCTCACCTATTCACACTCAGTAAGAAAAAAAATAATTATCAACATTGCATTAGGGAAACAAATGCACCAAATAATCTGTTATTGATTACTTCAAGAATATCATCCCACTCATGAGAGAGGTAAAACTAACATTTGGATTCACCAGATTAACAAATCCACATCAATATACTTATATATAAAAGTATGAATCAAGACAAAAATCATTCCACAAACAAAAATTGATACAACGCAAAAAGTAAAGAGCAGTCAGCATGCCACAAGTCCTGCATAATGTGACGTGTTGGGAGTGTCATCTACAACCTATTGTTACTATCATCCTCGTGAACAATACAAGTAAAGAGTGATGTGCACAGTACATGAAGGGGAAAATATGCAGGTGTAGGTCCAAATCAACATCTAAAGCTTTTGGTGATGAATAAATTGTTACTGTGTCTTTTCCTATAGTAGATTTTGGAACTCATTACTACAAAATGAAGTTGGAAGTGGAAAGGGAATTAAGAAGATGGATAGAGGATCAAAAGAGAGATCATGAACTTAGAAAATAAAGGAGAATAGGACACAAAAGGAAATGATAAGAGGTAAAGATAATATCAGAGAAAGAACAAAAGAAAAATAAGACTGAAACATAAAGAGAAAATAATAAATAATAAGAGAATGAAGATTTAAGAAAAGGGTAAATGTCATGATGATTCAAAAAGGGAGAATCAGGTGAAAAACTAACAAAAACAGAGAATAGGAACTAGGTAAATGCTTGTGTGGTCTTGTAGCAATGAGGTTCTTTATCCAGGAATCTTTATCGCCAAAAATGTATCTAATAAATTGCTGTCACTTTCTGTGTACTGTGTATTTGACATTTTCTTTTAACCAAACAATCTTGATTTATATAGAAAGGGGGTACATTCTGGGATGGCAATTCACAATGACCACTGATTAAATTTTGCTATTCAAGTATTTCAAACTCTTCAGAAAATCTTGAAAGCATAAACTCACATTTGAATAAACAATATTACAACACACACATATAAAATCCTAATTCTTTTCTGCAAGACACAGGGGAAATTTCATAAGACTAACATTTGTTGTAAAGTAAATATAAGATCTAAGAGAATTCATTAGGATAGATGTAAAAGTTAAAGAACTACATTTCTAAATTACACATGGCTCTTCATCTGTACAACACTCAGCAACAATGTTATATAATGGAAATATATGAAAACATACTCTTCTACAAACAAAACAGGCAAATAAATGCATTCAAAGACTTATAAGTTATTAAGTTACACCTACAGAAATACAAGTAACAGAGGTTACAATGTTGCATACAAAACATTCCTGATATTAGTGATCACAAGAAGAACCAACTGTAATAGAAGATGGGGTTGCAACACACAGCAGTCAAATGAACATTGTCCATATACTACTTACGAGTACGGCACACAGCCCGGTGATAACCTAGCGTGGGAAAACACTCATTCTTAGATCTTGGTAAAAATGTACAAACTCAAAAAACTGTTGTCTCATGCCAAAGATTCCTTATAGCTTATATCAAAGAGAGTGTTAATATATCTTTACCTTATCAAATAATCATTAAAAAATGATGTTTCCATGCAAATAAAATATGATCATCAACTTCTTCAAAATGACTTCTGGCAACAACAATCTTTGGATCCTGAGAACCCAGCCTCTTGATATCACAAACATACAACCACTGCCCATAGTCTAATCCAGAAAATTATTATTCATTAACAAATACAAAACAGGAGATAGGAACCAACCACCAAGTCATACAATTTAATTAAAGAATAATAAAAAAAATATATATATACATACACAATATGCACAAATGCAACTAAAATCATTTGGCACAAGGATCTCAATATCATTCTAGCTAATTAGTCTTCAACTAATCATCTCACTCATCAATCCAAAGTTTCTAAATTTAAACTAATGTAAAATATGATAATCCTCCGCAGTTCGGACATCTCACAGCACAACATCACAGAATTGTAAAAAAATACCTGGGGAAGCTGAAAGAAGCAGATGTCCAGAGGCATAAGTAGGAGGTGAGAGTATGTTGTCACAATAGAGAAATATTATGCAACATATGTTTACTATACAGCATGTGACACAGGTGCCAGTTTGAAAGGGATGCGTTACTCCATTACATTCCTAAGGTCTTTTATGGCTAAGATGCACCGTCTGGCAGATTAAGGATGGCATCAGCATATATCTGAGGTTATGAGAACTAGCAGGGTTTTCTTTTATATAGAGATGACCATTTCATGTGAATGCCATGAGAATTACTTAAGAACTGATTGCAATGTGAATGGAAATATAATATGCCATAACTAGTAGTTAAATAACCAAAATTAACATCCATTCTCTTTCCTTGGACATGAAAGAGTGAAGTTCTAATAAATTGAAAGCCATATTTGTAAAAATGTGCTTGCCCTTAACAACTATTTCTCTTGCAAATGCATGTGAAAATGTTAACCTTATATCATACAATTACAAATAGTTGAGATTAAGAAATTGTAATCAATAATACTTCAAATTGTAAAAGCAAAAGGCATATTTATGTATTGAAGAAAACACTTTGTATACTGAGCAGAGTTTTCCATAAACAAAGAAATCACTTAGACACATTTACAAGGAACCACAATCCCAGAGAACCAAGAAACAAATGTTAGTAAAAAAAGGGGGAAATATTATTAAGAATCAAAACAAAAAACAACAGACACAACGAAACTTACTTGGCATCAACTGTACTTGTTAACATACAGCTTATAAATATAGCAAATATAATGACTGATATCGTATAGAAACCAAGTTCACTTCACCCATAAATAAATAGACAGAACATCCTATCCCCACATGAACTGTTACCAACAAAGTCAAAAATAAAAGAACAAATGGAACAAAAACTTACTTCTTGGATGGTGAGTTATCCATGCGTCGATACTGCTCCATGATCTTCTCCTCTAACTTCTCCTTCTGGCGCCGGAGGTTGTTCAGCTTGTCCCTGAAATGGCATTTGTGCTTTAGTGCCAGCGGTGAAATTGTAGGTTTAATTTCAAAGGCATTCACATATCTATTTCATCGATATTGATGTGTCCTAGAACAGCACTTTCCCAGCATAATTCTGATGCTTAAGAGAAACCTCTTTCACAGTCACTTCACAAAATGGGATCCTTACGTGAAATTCTTCTCCTCCTGGTGGAAGTGCTGCTTGTCCTCCAGTGTTTGTGTGAGGAGGTCATGGTACTGTGTGAGCAACAGTGACACCTGTGACATCAGAGATCTCCTGTCTTCCTCAAGAGTCACATTCAGTGTCTGGAGAACCTATGGTGATAAACACAATAATTACTACAGCATTTTCATAGCATTCATTAAGTGGTCTTCCTCATTTTTCTATGTTATTCTTACTGACATAATTTAGCTTATGATTAAAAAAAGACTATTACATAGTGTAACTAAAATCACCATAAAAAACAAGAAAGATATAGATATGAATCTCTACCATCACTATTATCACCTGCTTATAATTACACATAAAGGCCCAGATGTGGGTCTTACCTGGCACTTATTATTGAGTTTGGAGACCTCTACATCCAATGCAGCCATCTGGTCTCGTGTGTCATTAAGCTCACCATTGAGCTCTGTTAACCGCAGCTTCACAGTATTGTTCTCTGTCTTGATGGCTTTATAGTCACCCTGAAGACTCTTGTACTCAGATCTCAGCTTCTCATTGGCAGAGAAAAGACTTCGGAAATCATCCTAAAATTGGAAGATACAGCTCAATTAACTCCCTAAGAACTGGCTGCCAGATAATAATGGTCAACTAATTTACCTTTATAAGTGTAAGCTGGGTACTGTATCTATATAGTGATTACAGTATCTGGCATATTAAGTGCCATAAATGAAATATACTTGTCAGATGTACATGAATACAAAGTAATTATAAACTGATTCACAGAGAGAAAGAAATTCACTTGGAATATTTGTTATTACTTTGAAGAAAATGTGCTTAAAATGACATACCTTAAGTCTTGAATGCTCTCCACGGAGATTAGCTAGAGTAGTGGAATCTGTCTTGAGTTTGTTCATCTCCGCTTCCAAGGCTTCACGCAGCTTCAGCAAGTCTTCTTCACCAGCTGACATCTCATTCTGCTTTTCCTGAGAACATTTACAACTTTGTATTTTCTTTCTTTTTCTTTCTTTCTTCACAAATTAAACAAAAACTAGGGCACTGTAAACATGAGTAAAAAGTACTTGTGTACATTATGTATAACCCCCCAAAATCCTTCAAGGAGCAGCATACACAGAATATTACAAACCTTGAGTTCCTTTTGCTCTAGTTTTAGATTCTTGTGAGTTGATTTGAGGTTGTTGTGTTCTTTGACAAGGTTGTCGTATTCTCTGGTCAGCTGTTGGTGGAGTCGCTGCAGAGCCTCATGATCAGCCACCAGCTGGTTCAGGCGGCTGCCTCGTTCGTCACAAGTACGACGAACCTGAATGAAAGAAAAAAAAATTGCAAATTCCAGAAGTCTAATAATATTGGAATGCTGATTTCTCTTCAAATTCAAAATTCAAAATAAACTGCAAAGAAGAAAACTGTATCAACTGCTTACCTTATCCCTTTCACCCTCACTCTGAGTGGCAGAAGTCTGGAGAGCAGAATTCTGAGCAATCAGAGAAGCTGACTGTGACTGCAAGGTTGTATTCTCCACCTGCAATCGGGCATTTTCACCCTGAAGTGTTGCATTGTGCTGGGATAGGACAGTGTTTTGGTTGGACAGAGATGTCACCTGAGATTGGAGAGCACAAACCTGCTCCCTGTAACTTGCTGCCTGAGATTTGAGTTCAGCGATTTCATTTTCCAGGCTACCTTTCTGCAAGGCAAAGAAGTTTGGATGAAATTTTCCATACATACTTATCACAGGACAAATACACTATTCATACATTCAATGGACCTAAACTGAATTCAATATGGAACACACAATAAAAAAATGAATGCTAAGAGTCTCTTATCCTTCAAAAAAATATTTCTCCAAAGATAAATACTACCAAATTACTAACCTCCTCATTAGTGCGGTAAACTGACTCTCTAAGCTTTGCCACCTCCTTGGACACATCTTCAATAACACCTTCCTCCTGGTGACGTTGACGCAAGGTCTCAAAATCGCTCTTAACCTTTGAAGTAAAAATTTAGAGTTTAGGTACACACTTATATCCACACATTGTTCATATGGATTTCTACAAAGACCAGGCACAGCGAGTTCATTCTTATATCAATTTTATAACAATGCATATGAATCATGGTTTTTACTCTACCATACCAAAAAAAGGACACAGACTGAACTGAACTAGAGCCACGTGTCTTACCTCCATCAAATGCTTCCGCAGTTCCTTGTTCCTGCTGACAGACTCGTTCAGCCGTGACTCGAGGGAGGCGATCTTCTCCTCTCTCACTTCCACACTTCTCTTCAGGGTTTCTTCCAGCATTGACTCTAGGGCCTTGTATCGGCTGGAGAGAGGAGCAGGATTTTAAGTAAGAAAGCTGCATGTTATTCATGAGTGTTCACTGCGACATCCAAGTTATTAAAAAGCACGAAGCTAACAATTACGGAAAAAGTTAAAAAAAAAAAAAAACAAGCATATACAATATATATATTATTTAATGCCACACTGCCATGCACAGCAGTAAGTCTACAATCAAAAACATTCCTTTTAATATCATACATTGTCACCAATCTTTGATGTCAACACAATGTTTCCAAGAAAAAATAGAAGCATATTTTAGATTGGACCACTTTATTCTGGTAAGAAATGTATAGTATATATGATATATATATGGTATATAATATATGCCCAATTGAGAAATTACAGTAACTGTCATATGTTACTGGTTTAAGGTTAGCCTATTATCAATATGTAATGTAAATGACTCCACCTAAAAACTCTTCAGGGGGAAAAAAAATATCTGTTTATGTTAAAAGAACAGGTCCCCATATTAACTCTTTGTTCAAAAATATTCTCCTTCAATTAAATCACAAATATCTTCTCTTTATATCCAACAAGCGACCACAATACCCCTTCTTGCCCATGTCTGTGTAGGTGTCCATAATATATTCCTTAGGCTAACACTGCATAAGCAGCATTACATCACCAGAGAAACCTGTGATCAGCGCAAAGGTAGGTAAAGCTGCAAATAAATATCTGACAAACGTACATTTACATGTTTTCTTTGCAACTCTACCTGTCTGACTTTATAGTGCTCCGCAATATCCATGATATATGATCGCTGAAACCATAAGCTGTTCTTAGTATGACCAAGGAAATTTTGTAAAGGAAGCAATCTTATTCCTCTTCTATTCATAAATAGTTTTTGCCAGGTATATACACACAATCAGAGTACATAAAATATAATGTACATGCATTCCATTTTAATAGCATGCCTTAACATGTATGGCAGCTTCTTTCTTCCCACCCGTTAACATAACATTCCACAAAGATATAGGACTATAAAAACGTCTCTTATTCCCTGCAAGCAAAAGATGTTAAACACCTATCAATCACTTACTCATCATCATTATCTGAAGCTGGAGCAGTCAGGTTGTCGGCATTAAGTCCAAGCTTAGAAAGGTCCGATCTCAGGCTGTCAAGCTGGTTGGAGAGTTGCTGCGTCTTGACCTGTTGGGAGTGAAGAACATCAATCTTTTGTTAAAGCATTATCCTTAAGATTACTTTTCTTAAAACTAACAACAAAATCAGATGCATTTTCAATATCTTACTTATTCATTTTTAATAATATAATAAAGAGTAATAATAATAACAACATTAACAACAACAACAACAATAATAATAACGAGAAAGAGAATTACAATAATCAAAAGTAGTAATGATTTTTATAAATGTTTTAAGACAACTGCATATGGTCTGCATTGACTTCACAATAGCAAACTTGACCTTACCTTTTCTGCAACCAAATCTTCTCTTAAGCAACTTAATGTTTTACGTTCAGTCATCATTTGTTGTTCAAGTTCTCTCTTCTCCTTCTCTAATTCTCGAACTCTGTAAATTTATTTTTAAAAAGTAAGTAATAAAGACATCACTATATGACAGCTAACTTGAATTATCATATAAACATCAATTTGATATTCAAACCAGCATAAGAATTAATAACATTGAATGAAATATTCTTTCAAATACATTGAAAAAAGTAGAAAAAAACAATTGGTACCTAAATTATACTCATACCTGTTATCACTTGTTCTGAACTGTTCTACATCTTTGTTGAGTCTCTTGATATCTCGCTCCTGAGTGGATATTTTGCTCGCAGCATCGTCAATGAGGCCATCCTTCACCTCCATAGCATTACGCAATCTTGTAACCTATGTCGGATATAAAAATAGATGAGAAACATGAAACACTTTTCCACTAAAAATAAACTTAATCTGACCACTTATATAATGTGTGTCAAAGGTTGGCTGAATTACTGTTGCAACAACGCTAGAATAATTCTTACCTCTTTCTGGAGGGATTTATTTTCACGATCCAGCCGGTCATTTGTACTCTCCAGCTCGGTGAGATCTCTTTCCATGTCATTCAGCTTTTTGGTTGAAAGTTTCAGGGTCTCAACTGTTCTCTGAAGCTGCAGGGCAAAAATAACTCAAGGTTAAAGAATTTTCTATAGACCAAAACAGTCGTAAATCTCCATAAGTATAACATTTACCTAAATCCTAATTTAAAATGTATTGCAGTTAGGAACTAACCCTGACAGAATGGAATTATACTAGTACAACAAAATTGCCTTTCTCTCATTTCATACACTTTCTAGACAAGGGAATCCATAACTTTTAGGAAAGAGCTGAATTTCACACAATATTCTTCAAGTTCACTAAGAAGTTAAACACCTATGTCCAATGCTGCACTTTTTATACACTCTATTATATAGTATAACACAGTATGTTTTTACAAATCTAACCTTAGAGTTCTCATTCTCCAACTCAGCCTTCTCCTTCTCCGATTCTGCCAACTTCTTCTGCACAGTGTCAAGAGTCCTGTTCTTCTTCTGCACCTCATTGTTGGCTGTCAGCAGTTCCAGCTCTGCCTGCTCTGCCCTGCTCTTCTGGGCCTTCAGGGAGGTTAACTCTTGCTGCAGGAGGTTGATTTGCTGCAGCTGAGTCTCCTTCTCCGACTCCAGGTCAGCCAGGCGGACGGAGGAGGACCGGAGGCTGTCCATGGAGCGGTTGAGGCGCTCCACCTCCACCTGCATCTGGAGTTTCTCACTCTGGGCACTCTCAAGCTGCAGGGAAGAATAGTTTATGAAATGAATCTGCATAACACTTCATATATTAGACAGACAAAGATATATATCTGTAATATTAATTTTAAAAAACTTAGATAGAGGAAAGAATGTTTATCCTGCAATAATTGTTGTTTTGAGTAAATAACAAAAGCATGAATTCATGCACATTGGAAAACATCAAAATTTGTCTCTGGGGTAACCACTTACCTTTGCCACAGTTTCTCGCATGTTGGCCAAAGTTTTAGAAACTCTGCTATACTCCACTTCCAGGCTGGCATAGTCGTGCTCCAGAGTCTCATGCTTCTCACAGCTCTCACGCAGGGCAGCAATGGCCTGTACATACCACCCGTCTCTTTACAGAATCTACTTGCACAGTTTAACAGTACAATACTAGCAAAACTACCACTCATTTCATAGGATGTTATATCGAGCTATGATAATGGTATATACACACACAAGTATAACCTCAGAAACTAACAGACTTTTTATATCACCTAAAGGGGAATATAAAATGACATATGATAAGTAGGTCTAAATCCCTTGAGCCTCGATTTGCAGGACTAATTTCTGAGGTTACATAAAGAGATGCTAAGGTAAACCATTGCTAAGTAGGGACAGTTATATGATTTACTATGAATTCTAACTAATCTGTGAGTTTTAATCTTCTTTTAACTTTCTGACATCACTGCTTAAAGTATTAAGGTTGAACTTCAAACTAATACAGGAACAAAAAACATATATAGATATATACATAAACCTTCAAAGTGCAAACACTTACCTTCTGCAGATCTCTGTTCTCCCGTTCAATCTCATTCTTTTGGTGCTCGACTTCAGATAACTTGTCTGCACTCTCTCGAAGCCTCTCAGTCAGTCTGTTCAGCTGCTGCTTCTCATACTCAAGGCGTGATACCTAAAATAAAACTCACATGTACTATTCCATTGAAACCGACTGAAATAACAGGAAAAATAAAAGAAATCAAGAGTAAAAAATAATTGCCCTTTGTTTGTTTCGTGATTATCACTACACAAAAGCAAACTAAAAAAAAAAAACACTAAAACTTGAAATACCGCATATGAGAATTACAACTACAGGAATTTTATGCAATGGAAGGTAAAGAATCAAAAACGCCAAGCGAAGATTCATAGCCAGACTTACAACCTTTCACGAAGAAATAAAATGGATGCTTATGATCCATAAAATATACCTGACTCTGTAGTTGCAGGTTAATGTCTTGCAACTTCTTGTTCTCCGACTCTACATCAAGAAGTCTGGTGTCTGTGGTTTTCTTCTGCCGCTCTCGGAGTCCTTCAATCAACTCAACCAGCTGGGTATTTTCTTGCTGTTGGGTATAAAACACAGGACTATTAATACATAATAATTCAAATTGTGGGCAGTGATCTTACTATTCAAACACTAAAAGTCTAGAAAACTACAATATCTTATCCTATTTTTCAACTTGCCTGAAGCTCATCAATCTGACGTTGCGAATTGGTCTTGACGGTGTTGAGGGTTTGGTGAAGGCGTTGGATTTCTTGATGTCGTTGCTCAGATTCTCCCTGTGTTTCCAGCACTTGCGATCTCTCCTTCTGACTCACCTCCTGAAGCTGTGTCACCTGAAAGCGATAGATTTGATTTACGGCATTGAGCAGACGCCATTGGTTAAGAAAACGCATTCCCTCCAGAGTTTATCATGCTTTTACTTTCGTCATTTCATGTACGATTCGAATCGAGACGTACCTTGATGGACAGTCTCTTGTTCTCCTTCTCTAGCTCCAGCAACTTGTCAGCCGAAGCCAGGAGAGAGTCGCGCTTGAGCTGTTCCACCTCGGCCTCCAGCCTCTGGTTCTCCAGCTGCAGCTTGAGTACTCTCGCCTGGGCATCGCCGATGAGGTCGCTGCCCACGCTCGAGCCGTTGAGAGGCCCCCGCGACTTGAGGTGGTCCAGCTGGGCGACCAGCGTGGCCGACTCACTCAGGGAGTTCTTGTTGCTCAGCTGCAACTGCGCGTTCTCCTCCATCACCTCCTGCAGCCTTTCGCGCTCAGCATCGCGCTCCTGGGGGATACGACGATCGTATTATTTCCCTATGCTAGTTACTCATTTTAATAATTCTTTGAAAGCAGAAGTAATAATTAAATTTTTAATCATGAATCCGGGCATGCCAACCCTTGTCTTGACTGGATTTCAAAGACAATACAAAAGTGATCTCGAAAAACCTACAATGCTGATTTGATTGACTGTCTGCTTCAACTGCAGGATGTTGTTCTCGAGGTCCAGCACCTGTTCCGCTCTCCTTCTGGAGGAAGCTAGTTGTTCCTCTAGCATCTCCTTCGTCTCGACTAAAATTCTAAGAAACAGATAGAGAAAAGCCATTTAGTATATTGATACCCAACCCACGGCGAGGATAAAATTTAAAACTAAGGTTTATAAAACTAAGGTTTATAAATATTTTCTCCCCGTATTCCTCCAGCCCCAAATCATCTTTTGAAACCTTGTAATAAAATGTCTTGTGATCTTTATCCATCATTTTATTCATTCTTCTGAGAATGTGCATCTCTCTCCTCATTCCTAGTACCTGTTGTCCTCACGTAGTTCCTCTACGCGCGTCTTGTAGAATTCGATGTCGGCCATCTTGTCCCTGTAGCGCGCCACCTCCTGCTCGAGGGCCTCCACGCGGCTGGCGCGCTCCCGGAGGATGTCCGCCTCGTCCCGCCACGCCCTCGCCGCCCGCGCGTCCTGCACGAGCTCCACGTTCTGCAAAAGGGCGTCAGGGCTCAGTATGGATGGTCAGTGTAGGGGGGAGGGTGGCAGTACATGAATCAGTATGGGGGGGGGCAGTACATGAATATGCTATGTTCATGGACTATAATTATCTACATATGGAAATTACAATAGGTGATCACAAGAAGGGGAAAAAATCTGAATTACAAATTTCTCACTTGCGTCTTACCCTTATACAAAGACACACTACCATTCAACAATCAGTAAAAAATACATCCCAATAAACAAAATGTCTAGATTCAATATCAAGCAAAAACATATTTTTCCTACTCTGAACACTATGCAAAAATAAAGCACATTCTCCAATAATAGTATTATCGTAATTTTCGTATTTTAAACGTTAAAAAGAAAGGCAAGAAAATGGCCCACCTCCTGCCGCAGCTTGGCCACCATGGCTTTGGTCTGTTCCAGCTCATCCTTGTACTCTGCGATGCTCTCCGCTTTTTCCTCGCTGCAAGAAGAAAAAAAAACTCGTTAGGGCATGAATATTCAACACCCAGCGCTGACGTGGTTGAAAATCCATTTATTATATTGGTCCCCAACACCACGGCGAGGATAAAAGTTAAAAAAAACAAAGGTTTATAAATATTCTCTCCCGGTATTCGCCAAGCCCCAAATCATCTCTATTAAATTTCCCATCAACAGCATGATGCAACATTCACACGGCGCGGGTGACTGACATCGTATCTCAAAATAAGTGTTGCACGGACGATAAAAAGCCAGGAGGCGATACGGCACCAAAACAGCTGCAAAGTCTCGTTAAAAATTTTGGCTTTCCCGCCTTCTCCCCCCCTCCCCCCCCCAATATACGCATACTCCCACACACCCGCTTTCAATAAATTCTTTACAGTCTCATTGTCACGGCTTTCCCAAACCAGAAGAAAGTTTTATGAACGTGTATGAAGAATATCTCTTATAGGAGAGAGAAAAAAAGTGACGACCACTACAAATACATGACTGCCATCTACCGTATTTATTCCAACACACGATTAAGGCTGCTAATCATCCATTCGAATTTCCGAATCAGCCAGAAACGACACTGAACCGATTGTCATATAAGTCGACCCGCAAATGAATCCCAGACGGGCGCGCGCGGACGGCTGCAGGTCCGGCGATGCTTCTTAATATGGCCGCGGGGGAAGCGGAAACGCCTCGAATTCGTCGGGTATTTAATGTGACGTCGCTGTCCTAAACATAAACACGGAAGAGGGGGAAAAACTCTACAATCCTTCTGCGAGCATTTTCTATTTGAAAACACATTTGTTATCCAAGAAACCACAGGAATTTTACACGCACAGATGAACAAACTATACACAACCCCCCCCCCTCCCACACACACACACACAAAGAAACGCACGTACACATACACAGACGCGCACAAACAAAAACTTTTTTTTACAACCCACTTTCATTTTCAATTTTACTTCGTGTCCACAAGTCTCGTTTACGTAACAATACACTCTACGAGCCCCACTTTAATCTTTAGTAATACCAAACCAACCTGTACGGCAGTAATAGCCACCAAAATTACCTTATCTCCAATTACCCACCTGGCGCTCCTAACAACCACTTCCAAGGTATAATTAAAGAACGGACAGGTAGCAACAGTACGGAGTTCAACCTCCGCCTGTTTAATATTCTCGAGCGTCGTCTCTGTCATGCATACGCAACATGAGGCTTTGTTTTGTACTCCTTAATTACCGTAAACACTAACGGCTTTAAATGCCCCTCCGCTCGCATTTTTAGATACCATGCTTTGGGCCACCAGCGCTCCTTTTTATCAGCTTTCGATTTCCCTTTCCTTATTCCCTCCCCTCCCCCCCCCTCCCCTTCGCCTGAGGCAATCTCGGGCTCCTCTCGCGAGCTATTCTATCCTCGCAGGCGCCTTAATGAGGAAAATGAAGTCCCCGGCCAACTTCAACGGCAAGTTCTAAAAGCAGTCGCGGAGTTTCGCCATAAACCCTTTTTGTGGGGGGGGGGGGACTTGTCGATCCCCGGACGAACAACGCGCTGGCAACTGCAGTTCTCTCTTTCTTTCTCTCTCCTTCTACCCTTTCTCCTTCCTCTCTCTTTATCCTTTATCTATTCCCCTTTCTCTTTCTCTTCGCCTCTTTTTTTCTCCTCCACTCTCTCTCTCTCTCTCTCTCTCTCTCTCTCTCTCTCTCTCTCTCTCTCTCTCTCTCTCTCTCTCTCTCTCTCTCTCTCTAACTAACTAACTTCTTCATCTCTCCCTCTTCTCTATCCCTCACTTTCTCCCTCTTCCTCCCTCGGAAGGTTTAATAACTATCTTATGACCCTCCACCATGCACACACGTCTCCCCTTCTTTCCCCTCTCTTCTCCCCTCCCCCTCCCCCCCTCCCTCCAGCGCCACCGCAGGCATCTCGTTATCGGAAATCTACAATCCTCGCGTGTTCCTCGTGGCGAGACAGCAACATTCCCTGTCATGGCGGAGGAGGAGGAAGAAAAAAAGGAAAAAGAAAAGGAAGAGGAGGAAGAGGAGGAGGAGGAGGAGGAGGGGGAAGGAGAAGGAGAAGGAGAGGGAGAGGAAGAGGAGAAGATGATGAAGGCGGAGGAGGAGGAGGAGGAGGAGGGGGAAGGAGAAGGAGAAGGAGAGGGAGAGGAAGAGGAGAAGATGATGAAGGCGGAGGAGGAGGGAGGAGGAGGAGGAGGAGGAGGAGGAGAGAGGAGGAGAGGAGAAGGAGGAGGAGGAGAAGAAGAAGAAGAAGAAGAAGAAGAAGGAGGAGGAGGAGAAGAAGGAGGAGAGGGAGAGGAAGAGGAGCAGAAGATGATGATGAAGGAGGGGGAGGGAGAGGCGGAGGAGATGAAGAAAGAGGAGGAGGAGGAGGAGGAGGAGGAGGAGGAGGAGGAGAAGATGAAGAAAGAGGAGGAGGACGGCCGTGTGTTCCTGACTCTAAGCCGCGCGGACGAAATGGCTTTGGCGCATGCATTGAAGGCCCGTAATGATCGCCCGATAAGACCTCGCTAATTAGTATAATGCCCTCTTTCGTGCCTCTTATATTTTGCAGTATATCGCATACACACACAGATAGCAAGAGACTTTTACATCTGATCGCAACACCAATCGAGAATGCACGTTTCAAACTGAAAACTTTTCAAAGAATATAATTCCTCTGTCTTTTTCCTTGACAAAAGTTTTTTTTTTTTTTTTTTTTTTTTTTTTTTAAGAGTAGTTGCTTATATTTTTCGAGTCAATAATCGGATTTACGCCACGCCCATAAATCAAGCAACCCCCCCCTCACACTTCCTCAACAAAAGAAAAAAAAAGAAAAAAAAAGAAAGAAAGAGAGAGAAAAAAATGAAGTTCTCCCCCACGCATGCCAACAAGGTGGACAAGCAGGCAAGCAGCCAACACAGCGACCCGGCGACAGTATTTCCTACCACTAATGGCGCCACAGATTTTCTCTTTTTTCATTCCCTCCTACACTTAATCCTTTTTTAAATTATTTGCTTCATCTCGTCACCCTCCCCCCCCCTCTTAATTCTCTCTTAAAATACCGGCTTCATCCAATCACCATCTCTTTCTGGGTTCTTATCTCTTTCGTTATCATCTCTCTATATTCCTCTCATTACTCTCCGTCTAAGAGCATGTTTTCCTCCTCTTTTCTTCATTCCTCCTCTCCTCTTCCTCCTACATTTACATTGTCATCTCTCCCTTCCCTCCCCCAGGCCATTTCCAACCTCCCCCCTCCCCCTTCTCCCTCTCCCTCTTCCCCTCTCCTCCATCTTCCCAACCACCACCACCACTCCCCCCCCTCATCCTGCCACTACCTATCAATACAAACCTCCTTTTCCTCCCTCACCCTCACTCTCTCCCTCCCCCCCTTCTCTCTCCTTCTTTCTCCAGCCTCACCTCCTCCAGCAACCTCCGCCTCCGATAAGCGCCCCCGACCCGCGCAACCTCAAAAGCATTCCCCGCGATCACTGAAGCTCGTCCGTCATCGGGTCGCATCGAAAATTCTAACGGTGGTCGCAAAAGCCTTGACGAATAAAAAAAAAAATAATATAAAAAAAAATGCATTGTCGAAAAAGCCGGGTCACTAAAAAGCCTTGTTGACAAAGCCGGGTCGCTAATCTGCCGCTGGGTACTCTATCGAAGTTTATTTTATCAGTCTTTATTCAACTTATAGAGCCATTGTTCATCTACCTCGACGTTCCTTTGTTCATCCACTTCAACATGCCTTCTGTCTGTAAAAAAAAGTTACATAACAAAAAATACCAACAATAAGATCTGCTTCAACATAACACAGACGCTACGATACTTTCGGAAAACCAATGCTGCTATAAATCAAATCAAAGAGCATAAACGATTGATACACTTTCACAATCAATAAATCCGCCACGAAATAAAACGAAAGAAATTGATACAATATATCTCTCCTCCCCCCCTCCTCCCAAAAGAAAGAAAGAAAGAAAGAAAAAAACTATCATGCAAAGGAAAAGAAAACGGAGTGTTTGAGCAACGGAATCAATAGTCAATAGGTCAGCCTCGGTTCGGTGTCTCTCGTTTACCGCTACGAGCATCTTAACATGCGATGGTTCTTCTCGTATTGTTAGAGGACGAGGCATTACATGTGAGTGAGTAAGGGAAAAAGGGAAGGAGGGAAAAAGGGATGGAGGGAAAGAGGGAATGAGGGAAAGAGGGAGGGAGGGAGGGAGGGAGGGAAAGAGGGAGGGAGGGAGGGAAAGAGGGAATGAGGGAAAGAGGGAGGGAGGGAGGGAGAGAGGGAGGGAAAGAGGGAGGGAGGGAGGGAGGGAAGGAGTGGATGAGTGGGTTTGTGAGTGAGTGAGTGAGTGAATGTTGTATACGAATATGTGAGAGTAACTGAGTGAATGTTGTAAACAAGTGAGAGCGAGTGAGTGGATGAGTGGGAGAAAGAGAAAGAGAAAGAGAAAGAGAAAGAGAAAGAAAGAGAAAGAGAGAAAGACTGAGAGAGAGCGATATAAAAAAAGAAATAAAAGCTAAACAAAACACGCGATTCCCCGAAACCCAAAAACCACCGAAACAAAAGACACGCGAATGTAAAACGCTCATTTAGCCTTTTCCTCAATCCTGATACATTTCCTTCAACCCTAAAGACAATAACGGCAAAAAAACGCCTTTCTCTCAGACTCTACCCCCCCCCCTCCACACACACACACACGATTTATAATCATACCTTTCCGTGTCAAAGCCTTAACCCCGACACCGACATAGAAATCTCCATTTTCCTTTTTAGAATAATGGATATATAAAAAAAGTTATAATAACCGACTTTCCTTTCTTGAGTACGCGGGGTTTCGCGTTTGTTTTATGTGACTTTTATCGGATTCAGTTTTCTCTCTCCTTCCCTCCTTCCTTTCCTCCCTCTCTCCCTCCCTGTCTCTGTCTGTCTCTGCTTGCCTGTCTGTCTGTCTTTTCCACAGGTATATTCTTTTCTACTTTCTTCGGTTCCTGGACAATGCAAGCCATCGAATTTCTGTTTCTCTTTGTCTCCTCTGTTTTTCCCTCTCTCAACTTCTTCCTCCACATTTTCCCCCTTCTTCCTATACATTTCCCCTCTCACTTCCCCTCTTCCCCTCTGTTCTTCCCCTTTCCTATACATTTCCCGTTTCCCTCACTCTCACCCCTCGTCCTTCCCGCCAATTCCTCTCCCTTTCTCTTTCCTTTCCCCGAACACACTTCCCTTTTCCTCTCTTCGGCCCCGCAAGGTCGAGCTGGACCTGCCAGTCAGCGTCGCCGTCGGAGGCTGAGTCACGGGGAGGAAGTGACGTCACGGCGGCCCCCCCGGGGTAAGGAACCGCCGCCGACGCCACGACGTTCACAAAGGAAGGTTATCTCTCTCCCGGTCTCCCCTCCATCCTTCCGTGACAAAGGAAAAATTAATCGAAGGGATAAAAGACAGCTGGAGGAAAAGGAAACGAGAAGCAAAAATATCCCCCCGTGACAGACAAAAGACGCTCGCTGAATCACCGAGCCTCTTGGAGCGGCGACGCCAAGTGTCAACTTCCTGAACATTTGATTTCTTGCGAGAGAAAAAAAGGAGGGGAGAGGATCGTCGTCATCGTCTTTCTTCGCTTAAATGGCTAGAATTTCCGGCCGTTTCTTCGCAAAAGAGCTCCTCCTCCTCCTCCTCCTCCTCCTCCTCCTCCTCCTGGCGCTCCCGGAGACGCAAAACCACCACAGACAAACAGAAACAATGGAGCGTTGCAACATAGACACACGGGAAACACTGGAACCGTTGGGCTTAACGTCTTGAAGCAAAGGGCAAGGGAAGGGGCTTTGAAGGGGGAGAGGGAAAGGGGATAGGGCTTTGAAGGGGCGGGGGGAGGAGACAAGAGGAGAATTAAAGGAAGAAAGACAGAAGAGGGGGGAGAAATGAGCTCTCGAAGGTGGGGAAAGGATTAAGAGAGAGAGAGAGAGAGAGAGAGAGAGAGAGAGAGAGAGAGAGAGAGAGAGAGAGAGAGAGAGAGAGAGAGAGAGAGAGAGAGAGAGAGAGAGAGAGAAAGAAAGAGAGAGAGAGAGAGAGAGAGAGAGAAAGAGAGAGAGAGAGTAATAATAAGACAGGCACACAAGCAAGCACACAGACAGAGAGAGAGAATCACAATCCTCCAAAGCAACAACCTCCCCCCATCCCCCCCACCCAACCCCAAGTGTCGCG